ATATATATATACAGTACTATATATATATTTAGTGATAACTGTACCTTACTGTTTTTTTTATACATCTCAACTTGGAGATTTATTTGTCTTCCTACTGTTGCACGTGAGCAGTATTTAAATAGTGTATTATTTTTTGTATAAAGAGTGTAAAAAACTATGGTTTATAAAAATTTCAACAGTTTTTTTTTTTATTTCCTTTAAACTCGTCTTTTATCTTCTGCCTTTCAGTGAATGGATTTAAGCTTAGGAAAATCTTCTGCATGATGGTAGGATTGCTGGTTTCTTTTTCTTTTCCTTTTTCTGTCTCATAAACACGCTAAGATAACAGGGATATCTTGCTACTCCTACTTACACTTTGGTCACACTTCATAGACACGCACATGCATATATATATATACATACATCTAGGTTTTTCTCCTTTTTCTAAATAGCTCTTGTTCTTTTTTATTTCTTCTATTGTCCATGGGGAAGTGGAAAAGAATCTTTCCTCCGTAAGCCATGCGTGTCGTATGAGGCGACTAAAATGCCGGGAGCAATGGGCTAGTAACCCCTTCTCCTGTATACAATTACTAAAAAAGAGAAGAAGAAAAACTTTATAAAACTGGGTTGCTTAAATGTGCGTGGATGTAGTGCGGATGACAAGAAACAGATGATTGCTGATGTTATGAATGAAAAGAAGTTGGATGTCCTGGCCCTAAGCGAAACAAAGCTGAAGGGGGTAGGAGAGTTTCAGTGGGGGGAAATAAATGGGATTAAATCTGGAGTATCTGAGAGAGTTAGAGCAAAGGAAGGGGTAGCAGTAATGTTAAATGATCAGTTATGGAAGGAGAAAAGAGAATATGAATGTGTAAATTCAAGAATTATGTGGATTAAAGTAAAGGTTGGATGCGAGAAGTGGGTCATAATAAGCGTGTATGCACCTGGAGAAGAGGGAATGCAGAGGAGAGAGAAAAGATTTTGGGAGATGTTAAGTGAATGTATAGGAGCCTTTGAACCAAGTGAGAGAGTAATTGTGGTAGGGGACTTGAATGCTAAAGTAGGAGAACTTTTAGAGAGGGTGTGGTAGGTAAGTTTGGGGTGCCAGGTGTAAATGATAATGGGAGCCCTTTGATTGAACTTTGTATAGAAAGGGGTTTAGTTATAGGTAATACATATTTTAAGAAAAAGAGGATAAATAAGTATACACGATATGATGTTTGGGCGAAATGACAGTAGTTTGTTGGATTATGTATTGGTAGATAAAAGACTGTTGAGTAGACTTCAGGATGTACATGTTTATAGAGGGGCCACAGATATATCAGATCACTTTCTAGTTGTAGCTACACTGAGAGTAAAAGGTAGATGGGATACAAGGAGAATAGAAGCATCAGGGAAGAGAGAGGTAAAGGTTATAAACTAAAAGAGGAGGCAGTTTAGGGTAAGATATAAACAGCTATTAGAGGATAGATGGGCTAATGAGAGCATAGGCAATGGGGTCGAAGAGGTATGGGGTAGGTTTAAAAATGTAGTGTTAGAGTGTTCAGCAGAAGTTTGTGGTTACAGGAAAGTGGGTGCAGGAGGGAAGAGGAGCGATTGGTGGAATGATGATGTAAAGAGAGTAGTAAGGGAAGAAAAAGTTAGCATATGAGAAGTTTTTACAAAGTAGAAGTGATGCAAGGAGGGAAGAGTATATGGAGAAAAAGAGAGAAGTTAAGAGAGTGGTGGAAGCAATGTAAAAAGAGAGCAAATGAGAGAGTGGGTGAGATGTTATCAACAAATTTTGTTGAAAATAAGAAAAAGTTTTGGAGTGAGATTAACAAGTTAAGAAAGCCTAGAGAACAAATGGATTTGTCTGTTAAAAATAGGAGAGGAGAGTTATTAAATGGAGAGTTAGAGGTATTGGGAAGATGGAAGGAATATTTTGAGAAATTGTTAAATGTTGATGAAGATAGGGAAGCTGTGATTTCGTGTATAGGGCAAGGAGGAATAACATCTTGTAGGAGTGAGGAAGAGCCAGTTGTGAGTGTGGGGGAAGTTCGTGAGGCAGTAGGTAAAATGAAAGGGGGTAAGGCAGCCGGGATTGATGGGATAAAGATAGAAATGTTAAAAGCAGGTGGGGATGTAGTTTTGGAGTGGTTGGTGCAATTATTTAATAAATGTATGGAAGAGGGTAAGGTACCTAGGGATTGGCAGAGAGCATGCATAGTTCCTTTGTATAAAGGCAAAGGGGATAAAAGAGAGTGCAAAAATTATAGGGGGATAAGTCAGGGAAGAGAGAGGTGAAGGTTTATAAACTAAAAGAGGAGGCAGTTAGGGTAAGATATAAACAGCTATTGGAGGATAGATGGGCTAATGAGAGCATAGGCAATGGGGTCGAAGAGGTATGGGGTAGGTTTAAAAATGTAGTGTTAGAGTGTTCAGCAGAAGTTTGTGGTTACAGGAAAGTGGGTGCAGGAGGGAAGAGGAGCGATTGGTGGAATGATGATGTAAAGAGAGTAGTAAGGGAGAAAAAGTTAGCATATGAGAAGTTTTTACAAAGTAGAAGTGATGCAAGGAGGGAAGAGTATATGGAGAAAAAGAGAGAGGTTAAGAGAGTGGTGAAGCAATGTAAAAAGAGAGCAAATGAGAGAGTGGGTGAGATGTTATCAACAAATTTTGTTGAAAATAAGAAAAAGTTTTGGAGTGAGATTAACAAGTTAAGAAAGCCTAGAGAACAAATGGATTTGTCAGTTAAAAAATAGGAGAGGAGAGTTATTAAATGGAGAGTTAGAGGTATTGGGAAGATGGAAGGAATATTTTGAGGAATTGTTAAATGTTGATGAAGATAGGGAAGCTGTGATTTCGTGTATAGGGCAAGGAGGAATAACATCTTGTAGGAGTGAGGAAGAGCCAGTTGTGAGTGTGAGGGAAGTTCGTGAGGCAGTAGGTAAAATGAAAGGGGGTAAGGCAGCCGGGATTGATGGGATAAAGATAGAAATGTTAAAAGCAGGTGGGGATATAGTTTTGGAGTGGTTGGTGCAATTGTTTAATAAATGTATGGAAGAGGGTAAGGTACTTGGGGATTGGCAGAGAGCATGCATAGTCCTTTGTATAAAGGCAAAGGGGAAAAAAGAGAGTGCAAAAAATTATAGGGGGATAAGTCTGTTGAGTGTACCTGGTAAAGTGTATGGTAGAGTTATAATTGAAAGAATTAAGAGTAAGACGGAGAATAGGATAGCAGATGAACAAGGAGGCTTTAGGAAAGGTAGGGGGTGTGTGGACCAGGTGTTTACAGTGAAACATATAAGTGAACAGTATTTAGATAAGGCTAAAGAGGTCTTTGTGGCATTTTATGGATTTGGAAAAGGCGTATGACAGGGTGGATAGGGGGGCAATGTGGCAGATGTTGCAAGTGTATGGTGTAGGAGGTAGGTTACTGAAAGCAGTGAAGAGTTTTTACGAGGATAGTGAGGCTCAAGTTAGAGTATGTAGGAAAGAGGGAAATTTTTTCCCAGTAAAAGTAGGCCCTTAGACAAGGATGTGTGATGTCACCGTGGTTGTTTAATATATTTATAGATGGGGTTGTAAGAGAAGTAAATGCGAGGGTCTTGGCAAGAGGCGTGGAGTTAAAAGATAAAGAATCACACACAAAGTGGGAGTTGTCACAGCTGCTCTTTGCTGATGACACTGTGCTCTTGGGAGATTCTGAAGAGAAGTTGCAGAGATTGGTGGATGAATTTGGTAGGGTGTGCAAAAGAAGAAAATTAAAGGTGAATACAGGAAAGAGTAAGGTTATGAGGATAACAAAAAGATTAGGTGATGAAAGATTGAATATCAGATTGGAGGGAGAGAGTATGGAGGAGGTGAACGTATTCAGATATTTGGGAGTGGACGTGTCAGCGGATGGGTCTATGAAAGATGAGGTGAATCATGAATTGATGAGGGAAAAAGAGTGAGTGGTGCACTTAGGAGTCTGTGGAGACAAAGAACTTTGTCCTTGGAGGCAAAGAGGGGAATGTATGAGAGTATAGTTTTACCAACGCTCTTATATGGGTGTGAAGCGTGGGTGATGAATGTTGCAGCGAGGAGAAGGCTGGAGGCAGTGGAGATGTCATGTCTGAGGGCAATGTGTGGTGTGAATATAATGCAGAGAATTCGTAGTTTGGAAGTTAGGAGGAGGTGCGGGATTACCAAAAACTGTTGTCCACAGAGGGCTGAGGAAGGGTTGTTGAGGTGGTTCGGACATGTAGAGAGAATGGAGCGAAACAGAATGACTTCAAGAGTGTATCAGTCTGTAGTGGAAGGAAGGCGGGGTAGGGGTCGGCCTAGGAAGGGTTGGAGGGAGGGGGTAAAGGAGGTTTTTGTGTGCGAGGGGCTTGGACTTCCAGCAGGCATGCGTGAGCGTGTTTGATAGGAGTGAATGGAGACAAATGGTTTTTAATACTTGACGTGCTGTTGGAGTGTGAGCAAAGTAACATTTATGAAGGGATTCAGGGAAACCGGCAGGCCGGACTTGAGTCCTGGAGATGGGAAGTACAGTGCCTGCACTCTGAAGGAGGGGTGTTAATGTTGCAGTTTAAAAACTGTAGTGTAAAGCACCCTTCTGGCAAGACAGTGATGGAGTGAATGATGGTGAAAGTTTTTCTTTTTCGGGCCACCCTGCCTTGGTGGGAATCGGCCGGTGTGATAATAAAAAAAAAAAAAAAAAATTTCAGTGAATGGATTTAAAAGCAGAATTGCAAATTTTTACTATGTTACTTTTCATCGTCATAATTTTAGAATATGTAAATATACTTCATACATTACACAGTACATCACCTGAGAGTTTTTTTTTTTTTTTTTTGTGGATATTTAGAAGTCTTATTTTTTGGATGGATGCTGTAGTTTATTAGTAATTTGTCTTGTGTTTATTCTGTGGTTGTGCTACTTCCAATTAACTGCTTGGCTCTGTGGGGTCATTGGTTTCAAATGTTGTAAGTTGTCCTGATTCAAATCCTTATTAACCAGCCACAATGTGGAGACCCCCAGCCTACCTACCATGGCTACAAATGGGAATGACAGGCTACACTTTGTGTCCGAGCATACACCCTTGGGTCTTCTACCACGAAGACGACCTACCTCTGAAGAGGCTGTTTATGAATCCCTCTGTTATGTGACTCTCAAATCTAAGGAGGTACTAGATTATTATGATAGGCCTTGTACTTTATATTGTATGTGATTGCTTAGTGTCCTGTACCTTTGTAAGTAGTGTATTTTGGGGACTGCATGAATTGTCAGTTGCAGAGTATCTTTTGGTTGTACTACTGTATAGTGTTGAAGATGGATTGATTGTATAGCTTGTTGTATTCAACACTTGTCTTTTGAATATTGTGGAATATGAATTTATTAACATTCACAATTTACTTATTTCTGTAACTGTACTGTTTCTGTTCTTGCTTGTATCTTCTTGGTTCTTGCTTATTCTTGTTTCAATAATTTGAGTATAAAGTTCTATATACATGTGTGATGGTATTGTTTTAATGAAGTAGGATTGCTTTACAAGATGAAAGTGTATAAAGCTTAATTGCTCATGTATAGGAATGTATATACGTAAGGGAATATATATTTATCATAAGTAGTGGTATTGCACAGAAAGACTAGTTCAGTATTTAATTACTGCTAAATATTTCAGTCTCATTCCTTTCCTGATGCTTTAGTTTTATGGTAATACAGTCATTCATAATTTGAGTGTGGGGTAGGAAGTATGTTTATTTTTTTTTTCAATTATAATCAAGCTGTAAGATGTGTAAGTAATTAATAAGTATGGGAGTATTGAAGCCAAAACATACTCTTTACTGTATGTAGCATTGATAAAAGAAGAATTACCATAAAATATTATCCAAGTAATAACTGTTTAACATTCTTTAAAAAAAATTGAAGGTAATAATATAAGGTAGCTGTGAAGCCTGTATAGTGACTATACACCTGTCAGGTAACTATCGAGTCTATATGGTAACTACACCTCTAGTAACTACACACCTATAAGTTAACTATCAAGCTTGTAAGGTATCTTCACATCTGTAATGTAACTATCAAGCTTGTAAAGTGTGCTCTGCAGAATTTAGATCGATTATCTATAAAGATCATTTTTCATGTTATTTTCTTTATACACACAGTTCTTCCCTCAGCTATTTATAAGGAAATTTTCACTTCTCCATCACCTGTTAGCTTTTCTTTAGATACTTTCTGTAGAGATAGGCTGTAGTTCTTCCTACCTACCAGCAAAAAATATATGCCCAGAATGCAGCTTCTTGTAACCAACAGTAATTTAGCACTTGAATTTTGAAAATACCACTTCCTCAGTTTACCTGGGTTATTTTGCTAGTTTAACCCTTTAACTGTCGCGGCCGTATATATACGTCTTTCGAGGTACCGTGTTTGACGTATATATACTCATTAATTCTAGCGGCTTCAAATCAAGCAGGAGAAAGCTGGTAGGCCCACATGTGAGAGAATGGGTCTGTGTGGTCAGTGTGCACCATATAAAAAAAATCCTGGAGCACGCAGTGCATAATGAGAAAAAAAAACTCCGACCGTTTTTTTTAATTAAAATGCAGACTTTGTGGTCTATTTTCGTATAGTATTTATAGTTGTATTCTCGTTTTCTTGGTCTCATTTGATAGAATGAAAAACATATTATAGAAATAGAGGTGATTTTGATTGATTTTACTATAAAAAGAACCTAGAAATGGAGCTCAAAGTAGGGGAAATGTTTGATTTTTCCCAATGTTCAAAAGTAAACAAATGAAGCCATTGTCCAATAAATGTCCAACTAGCCATTCTAATATGCAGTCATGAATGGGTTGATGTTATTTATACAATTATTACAGTATTGCAGTAGTCTGCATAATAGTAAGTCTTCTATTTTTTGTTTGAATAAAAATTCAAAAGAGAAAGGAAGAGTAATATCAGAGGGGCCTGGAGACATGACTGATGAGCAAAGAAAATGTTATTTTAGAGCCAGGAATGTTTGCATTGTTCATTCTGGACCTTATTTTGAAATTGTCATATTTTTTAGTTTTCGTGAAATTGGCCAAATTGCAAATTTCTGACCACATTATTAGGTAGTTGATATTGGTAAATGGGCAGTTTCTTGTACTCAATCGATAGAAAAAAATGGAGTTCTAAAGAAATAGCTATGAGTTTGGTCGACTGGAACAATGGAATTAGCCGAAAATAGGGGTCAAAGTGGGCGAAATCGCTAACTTCGCGAGAGCATAATTCCGTCAGTTTTCCATCAAATTTCGTTTTTTTGGTGTCATTACAATCGGGAAAAGATTTTCTATCATTTCATAAGAAAAAATAATTTTTTTTTTTAAATTTTGCGACACCAGGAGACACCTCAGGATTGGGGGATTGCGACAGTCAAAGGGTTAATGTAATGCTTCTCAGAGTGGTCAGTGGGCTACTAATGGTCCACAAATCCCCAAGTACAATAGACCCCCGGATTACGACATTAATCCGTTCCAGAGAGCGTGTCTCATACCGAATCTGTCGTAATCCGAATTAATTTTCCCCATAAGAAATAATGGAAATCCAGTTAATCCGCTCCATACACCTTGCAGTATTAAACAAAATAATTTTTTTACATGAAATATACATTTCCTTACACAGAAAACAATGAGACATGCAGAATAAATAAATAAATAAATAAATAATAAAATGACACCTTTATTGAAGATGTATTGATGAGTGATGAGACGGAAGGAGGGGAGAGGATGGAGGAATTTACAATTGTTTGGAAGGGGAATCCCCTTCCATAAAGACTTCAGGTAGCAAGTCCTTTTCAGGGGTTACTTCCTTTCTTTGTTTTTTAATGGCACTAGGATCAACTTGAGTCACTGGACCCCTGTCGCACCAAAAATCTGTCCAGAGAGCTCTGTTTCTGGCGTCTCTTTAAGATTTCCCTAAATGGGATACAACATTGTCATTGTAGATGTTGCCAGCATTTCCTGCAACAGCTGTGTCAGGGTGATGTTCATCCATAAAGGTTTCAACTTCAGTCCACTTTGCACAAATGTCCTTAATCTTTGAAGAAGGCAGCTTCCTCCATCTCTCTTCCTCCTCCTCTGAATTAAATTCCTGAGCTGTGGTCTGTTCGTGTTGCACCTCAAGCTCTTGCAACTCTGTAGTGGTTAGCTCTTCATCATCATCCTCTACCAACTCATCCACATCCTCACCACCTAACCTCCAACCCCATGGACTTCCCCAATGCCACAGTAGAGTCCACAACTGGCACAGGCTTGTCAGGATCAGCCCCAAACCCTTCAAAATCCCCCTCTTGTACACATCCTGGCCACAATTTTCTCCAAGCAGAGTTCAGAGTCCTGCAGGTCACTCCTCCCAAGCCTTACCTAATAAGATTTATGCAAATGATGATACTGAAGTGATCTTTCCAGAACTCTCTTAGGGTCACTTCAGTGTCTGAGGTCACTTCAAAGCACTTTTGAAACACTGCTTTGGTGTACAGTTTTTTTGAAATTTGAAATGACCTGCTGGTCCATGGGCTGGAGGAGAGGAGTGGTGTTAGGAGGCAAAAACTTGACTTTGATGAAACTAAACTCCAGCACGATTCGCTCTTCCAAGTCTGGAGGATGAGCAGGAGGCACTTGAGTTCCAATTTATTTTCCAGGAGGTATTTTTTCACACTGGGGCCAAACACGTCATGGAACCAATCTAGGAAAATGTCCCCAGTGACCCATGCCTTACTGTTTGCTCTCCACATCACACACTATGGGAGTTTGAGTGATAACACGGGTAAAGGCTTCATTTTGCAATCCCTACTTTCATTACTACAAAACATGAGAGTTAACCTGTCTTTCATAGGCTTGTGTCCTGGGAGTGCCTTTTCCTCCTGAGTAATGTAGGTCCTGTTTGGCATTTTCTTCCAAAACAGGCCTGTTTCATCACAAATGAACACTTGCTGGGCTTTTAATTGTTCAGCCTCTCTGTACCCCTTGAATTCCTGCACATACATTTCAGCTGCTATATTTTGTCAGAACTGGAAGCCTCGCCATGCCTTATCACACTGTGTATGCCACTACGATTCTTAAATCTCACAAACCAGCCTTTGCTGGCCTTAAATTCATCAATATCAGCACTAGTTCTAGGCATTTTCTTAATAAAATCATTATGCAACTGCCTTGCCTTTTCACATATAATTGGCTGCAAAACACTATCTCCTGGTAATTGTCTCTCGTTGATCCACACCAACAAGCCTCTCCACATCTTCGAGTATTTGCGATCTCTGTTTTGTAAGCATATTTGCACCTTTTGCAACAACAGCTTCCTTGATTGCTTTTTTGTTGGCCAAGATAGTAGCGATGGTTGTATGGGGTTTGTTATACAACCTGGCCAGCATGGAGACACACTCCACTTTCGTATTTTGCGATGATCTCTTTCTTGAATTCAATAGTATTTCTCACCCTCTTTACCACAGGGCTGGCACTAGAAGTTTTCTTTGGGCCCATGGTGGCTTATTTAGCAGTTACAAGCACTAAAAACAATGGAATAATACAAATTGTATTGCAAGTACACATGAAATCGTCCTCACTGGCTTTAAACAGTGGCACACTGGCTGTAAGATAAGATAAAATTTCGTTCGGATTTTTAATCCCGGAGGGTTAGCCACCCAGGATAACCCAAGAAAGTCAGTGCGTCATCGAGGAGACTCTAACTTATTTCCATTGGGGTCCTTAATCTTGTCCCCCAGGATGCGACCCACACCAGTCGACTAACACCCAGGTACCTATTTGCTGCTAGGTGAACAGGACAACAGGTGTAAGGAAACATGCCGAAATGTTTCCACCCCACCGGGAATCGAACCCGGGCCCTCCGTGTGTGAAGCGGGAGCTTTAGCCGGGCCGCTCAGGCTGTGTGGACACTTTCTGGACGAATGACTTTAACCGAGTTTTTTGTCATTAACCAAGCCAATATTTTGACGCAAGAACTTTACTTAATCCGAATTTTATGTAATCCAATGACATCGTAATCCGGGGGTCCACTGTAATGGTACACAGTGTCACTGGTCCCCTGCAGATGCAGTGAACGAGAAGCAGGCTCGACTTTTTCATTAGTAAAAGTTAGGTATTTTAAAAAATGCTCATTAAATAAGTAGTATTAACATTTGCTTTT